TAGGATGTCTTCAAATGGAGCTTGACTATTGAAAAGGAATTCGAAGACAACACGGCAGTTGTACTTATGGTCGATTTGATATGGTGGTAAACACATACCTAGTCATATAGCAGTAAATACATGCCAGGCCACACCCGCTGTAGTACATAGCTCTCCTTCTTACGAAAACCTGTTTGATGTGTTGGTTCCCGGCGTTGTCGAGAAGGAGGAATATGTCCGCGTTCCGGCCAAGAATGCATACTCCTTTCAGATTGGACCACCTTACCTTGTCACGAACGTAGCCGTAGGTAAGTCGGGCCCTAAAGTGCCGTTACATCTCCAGCCTGGATTGTTGAGGTGTGGAGATAACGAGGGTAAAGAGTAGGTGAAGGATTGCTTCTTGACGCCATTGCCAAAATAGTGTCGCCATTTGCTCCATTCTCTGTCCTTAAGAGAGCATGTCTGAGAAAACCAGAACATATGTGCAAGTCGATCTCTCAGACTTCGCTCAAATTTTGCAGGTAGGTTTGCGTAGGGGTGTAGATCGACATTCCAAAGCCCGCACAAAACCTTTTGAAGGGAACCATGAAATTGGTGTACCCCTCAATATTGGCCCACTATTGGCACGATTTATGGGTCTACAAACGAGCCACGGCACAGCGTGCAAGAACAAGCTACGAACAAAAACGCCATCAAGCCATCATTACCTCACCTTAGAAGAGTTCTTGGGGCAGCACCACTTAGCCACGCCAGCATCTCAGAAGACGAGGGCAATCATCCCTTGACGCCACAAATGATCGTCTTGAAAATAGCCAAATTACAAGCGCTGATAAAACAGCGAGCTACGTCCTCAATTAGCAAACACTATACACCGGCAGATAGTAGAACACCTCTTCTAGCACTGAGGGCATGCGCCCTCATCCTTTTGGGGTTTTCTTGAAATAAACATTTTTTGAATTTTTCCACTCGACCATTCTGAAATACGTCCAAACTCATACCTGCGCAGGAAAGCTCGCCCCTCCGCGACGTCTAGTTAGCAATTTCTACTCCAACACCACTCCCAACGCTGCAGAACAAAGTGTATTGTTGACTCTGACAAGGAAAAGCAGCGGTGATCACTTGTCACTCCAAACGACAAGCTTCTCCTTGCGCCACCAACATTTTTCGTTGCAACAGTTGATGCAAAAGTGACTGAATTTTTGCGTGTCGTTTTTGGATTTTACTGCAAGAGGACCTAGGAGTGAAGAAATCACGTGGATCGTGACGTAGAATAATGCTTTCTGGTACACAACACAATGCACACGATCACGATCGTTCCTGAGGCGCTATTCGAAACGGGCCATGAGGGAGGAGGTAAGATGCATTATATTTCTTGCATGCTCTGCTCAGAACATGCAGAAACTATCGTTATACCGCTAGCAGTATTGCATTGGCAAGAATTCTTGGAGATATTTCCTCTTGCAGTAAGAACAGGGATGCATTTTTTCACACTAACCTCGCTCATCCCGAACATGGTTCAACAGGAACTACGGCTGGTTTACATGCTGATGATCCACGTAGTCGTAGATCTGCAACAGCAAGGAATGAGCGTGGTCCATGCCATCAAGGTCGCTTGGAGTTGACCAGCGCTAGCGCGCGGCCAACACTGGTTGCATGAAGTATGTGGCGCGCCCACATGGCAGATTTCTTACGTCATGAACAACGTGATTTGACCCTACTCGCCATAGTCTCTGTGCCGCATGTTGAGGGAAAGTCCAAGCTGGAAGGCCTACAACACGACATGCGTGCTCTTGAGCTGGACATCAAGATGCACTTGATCCGATCTAGATCAACGGGTGATCCATGTAAGTGCAGGAGCGCTTGATCAAGGACAAGGTGACTCGGAACAACTGCTGAACCGTGATCTACGAGACCTGGCATTCTTGTGTCACGAGGCACGTGATTTCATCATTCCTCTTGCAGTAAAATCCAAAAACCACACGCAAAAATTCAGTCACTTTTGCATTAACTGTTGCAACGAAAAATGTTGGTGGCGCAAGGAGAAGCTTGTCGCTTGGAGTGACAAGTGACCACCGCTGCTTTTCCTTGTCAGAGTAAACAATACAATTTGTTCTGCAGCGTTGGGAGTGGTGTTGGAGTAGAAATTGCTGACTAGACGTCGCGGAGGGGCGAGCTTTCCTGCGCAGGTATGAGTTTGGACGTATTTCAGAATGGTCGAGTGGAAAAATTCAAACTTGTTTATTTCAAGAAAACCCCAAAAGGATGATGGGGGACATGTCCTCAGTGCTAGAAGAGGTGTTCTACTATCTGCCGGTGTATAGTATTTGCTAATTGAGGACGTAGCTCTCTGTTTTACCAGCGCTTGTATTTTGCCTATTTTCAAGACGATCATTTGTGGCGTCAAGGGATGATTGCCCTCGTCTTCTGGGATGCTGGCGTGGCTTAGTGGTGCTGCCCCAAGAACTCTCTTAAGGTGAGGTAATGATGGCTTGATGGAGTTTTGTTCGTAGCTTGTTCTTGTACGCTGTGCCGTGGCTCGTTTGTAGACCCATAAATCGTGCCAATATTGGGCCAATATTGAGGGTATGCCAATTTCATGGTTCCCTTCAAAAGATTTTGTGCGGGCTTTGGAATGTCGATCTACACCCCAAAGCAAACCTACCTGCAAAATTTGAGCGAAATCTGAGAGATCGACTTGCACATATGTTCTGGTTTTCTCAGACATGCTCTCTTAATACGCATCATTTATGTGCGATCAGGAGAACACACACCACGTGGGATTAGAATAGCGGATTTCAGAAGATTGATGGATAATGAACTGTTCCATGCCTGCAGCAATGGTAATAGCAACTTTAAGGCAAGCCAACTCTGCATCGTGGGTGATACTGAAGGCCCAATGGACGGCCTTGAGGTGTGCTCCGAGTCACCCTCAGCCAGAAAGCTCTTAACGCCGCACGGTTTGCGTGGTTGTCTGTCCCCGGCTTGTTGAAATGGTCAGGAAGTTAACTTATTGAGTTCCATGATTTTAGCGACCCAATTATTCAAGTACATTCGTGCTGATGGATTTTGGAAAGTCGACAGGATGAGGTTTAGTGGGGTGGCACCTCAAGCGAGCTCTCGAAAATGTTTCGTTAGCTCGTGTGTGACACAAAGATCCACAAGGCTATCCCCGAGAGGGTTTGATTTTTCGCTACCAAGCTAATCTTTACAATGCACGTTGAAATCCGCCGCTGGAACTACGTTTGGGGACAGTTCTTTGGCCTAAGGTAGTGTTTCGCCACGTGAATTGATGAGACAGAGGTTTGTGGGGCTACAGGAGTAGGAGCGGTACACAGAACCAATCACCAAACTTGCAACACATAACCCAAAATGTTGTATGTTCCGCGGACCGAAGTAAGTCTAGATTATCAGAAGCAAAGGTGGACTTGATCAACACATCAATACCACCTCCGTGCTCGTTTCGGTTCCTGCCATATGAGAATCCTTGTTCAAGAATGCACGAGTCAAGGCTAGTTATTGCATTAGCAGAGAATACAGCTTCAATGACATTTTCTACATCTAAGTCGTGCCGGATGAGTGCATGCCTCAGGACGTCCACTTAGAGGTGTCAACCGGAGCTGCCAAACAACCAAGCCCAATGGAGGAGACCTGCGTTGAAGGTTACAAAGTGAGCAGGTCGGATGTCGTCCATAAATCATCATTGCACGAGAGGCAGAAGAAGCTGCAGTACAGCGAAAGGATTGTCAATGTTGACCGTGGTAACTTTACCCCGCTTTTCTTCACCACGGCTGGCAGTGCATCCCCAGAATGCTTGCGGTTTTTTGAAGCGATTATGCGCTATGCTGGCACAGCATGATGGCAAGCCCTATGGCGAGGTTATGGCCTATGTCAGATGCTGTCTGTCGTTTGCACTTCTCCGAGCTGCAGTTATGTGCATCAGCGGGGCTCGCTCTGCATACCATCGACCGGTAAATGCATTGCGCCCACTAGCCATGGCTGAGGGACGGATGTAACAGTGGTGTGTATAACCTCGCTAATGGCAGTGTCCTCAATGCTAATGGACGCGTCATGTTTTTGTTCATAATTTAAGGTGCAATTTAGCGCTGATGTGGGTATTTCTTTGCCTTTCTTCATTTGGTCCTTTAAAATGAAGCGGCTTTTTATTTCCTTTCTCGTCCTGGATGTGTCACGACTTTGAATTGAATTGAATTTTCTTAAATTGATTTGATTTTTAGCGTTATGAGCGGCTTTATTGACATTGCTCTTCAGATTGGATTTTTTATTGTCCCGTAAAAGAGGCTCCTTTAAATCCTAAATTCTGCACTATTCTGTTCGTGTGGACTTCACATGTGTGACTTGCACAAATTGTACCAGTATGCAGTGTCTTATACAGTACTATTCAGTTCGATTCTATCCGCAACTGATTATCCTCTGGTGAGCTGCTTTTAGTGATATCATGAAACATCATTTGTCGTGCAGTGCTAGTTGTCGGAAGTTGTAGCGTGATGCTATATTTAAGATTTAAACTTGTGGAAGCTTACACCTTTCTGTGTTAGAAGCGCTGTGTATTCCTAACATAGATCCAGGACTATGTGTATAGAAGGAGGGTGTGTTATCTTTGCAGATGCTTGGTGGCACACCTAGCTCAGGAAAGTGTGCCCAGTATTTCATGATGTGTTGACCATGTTTGTCTACAACTCCCAGGTTCTGTTTTTGAGGTTTTGTCACTTTAATCATTTTTCAATTAGGTTGAGGTGTTTTCTTTTTTTCTTTATTTTTTCTTAATTAAAAACTTTACGTAGTTACATTTTTTCCAACATTCCCTGTGCTATCTTGATGAGGAGTGAAGGAAAGCGTTGTTTAGATGAAAGAAAGTGTCTACTTGATAGTGTCGATTTGCGTCTCTGCATGCGGAGGTATAGATTGCGAAAATATGGGGTTTTGTTCTAAAGTATGAAGTGCCGCTCTCAAAACATCTGTTTCAGTTTCCCCTGTCTGGTGACCACTGCCATGCCTGAAACTTCTCTTTGCACCTGGTCTTGGCGCTTTTCCTGATATTTCTCTGGAAATTGGTCTGTTTAGCACTCTATTCGAGGTGCCTCTACCTTTTGTGGACATATACGTGGAGTGGTTGCATTGGTTGGTTGGATCACATCAATGTCTTTATAAAGGCTTTTTTTGGAATACAAACTGTCAATTCTGCAGATAACTGGTACTTTTGCTCACAGAGCCAAGAAGCATCGGGACGCCTCGAAACACTTTACGTTCCCACACCTAAGACATACGATGATGCGTCTGCTGAGTGTGCCCGGAGAGGTAGCATTCTGGCAAATATCCAGACTAGATATCATGGAGAGTGTGCAAGAGAACTGCTTGGACCCCGAAACGGTCAGTGCAACAGTTCGTCCAGTGGTAACTGCACGACTTCCTCGTACTTCTGCAAAACCAATACATGCAATGTGTGGGTTGCTCTTCAACGACCATCTCCATCCAAAACCTGGACATGGATGTTACCTGTTCCAATCGCTGCAAAAAACGTTTCTTGGATTACTGCACCACTACAAGAAGGTGGTGGACGGAACGAATGCGGATATTATTCCCCGGAGAAAGACAGTTTTGGAATCGAATCTTGCTCAATGAAGCTAAGTTTCTATTGCCAAAGATATACACCAAAAGGTAGGGATCTCATAGAAAACCTTTTACAAACCCATTAGGCTACTCTTATACTTGCCTAACAGCCTTTCCGTATTCGTCTAACTATGCACTAAAGGGGCTGATATGTAACATTAATTTGTAATCAAAGGTTGCTTTTAAAACTTGCTAACCCACTAAGGCCATTCAATGCACATTTTTCGATCCATGATCATTATCACAACTACCATAATACAAAGATCGGGATCGATGTACATTTCTTCTTCCAAAACCTTTGGGTTTGTTTTATTCCTAGGGAAACATGGCTCGGGCAGGCAATTACGACTTGGCGCGGTGATTGTGTAATGGGTAGGCGAGTGGTAGGCGCGGTGAAATCAACAAGATTTACTTTTATTCTACTTTCAGGTACACACCTGAGATATAATTATTAGTGAAAGAAGAAGCGGCAAAATAAATAATTTTCTCTCCGGTGCTCACCTAGAGGTTGACTCCTTCTTCTTCGAGTTAGCTTTCATTGCTATCTAATCTAATCTAATCTAATCAAAACAGAAATGCGCAGCGGCTTTTATGCAGCAGACGACGTACGCTTACATACGGAGATACACTAAATATACATCAGGCAAGCTCCGTATTAGTTCCGTACTGCTTCCGTATTGGTCGGGCAGGGATACTACATCCTCCCTTCCTACAGATAATCACGCCCTCGTGATTCTCAAAAATTAGTGAGGAGTTACGAACAACAGCGTCACCCGGAAGATGGCAAATTATATCGGAAATGATAACGTTTAGAGTAGACAGAAGAAATGAACTGATAACAAATCATAAAGTAGAAGCACACCAGGTTCACACGATCTCACGGGGTCAAAAGGGGAAAGAACTGTCCTCCAAATAGGACCTGAAAATCCACAACACTCTTGCTGCACAACGCTGGCACAACCCGCCAGGAACATCGCAGTTCAAAAACCGAACTGAATACACTATAACTATAAGGGGCGTTGTCACACACATTGTCCCACGTTAGCTGGGTAAACCGTGGCTCACCATGATCAGACGCCTACCAAACTAAACTGGATTCACACACTCGCATAAAGGAAGACTGAAAAGAACAGGGAGACTGAAGGAAGACAGGAAAGAAAATGCCATACCTGGAATCAGCGTTAATAACCACGGCGGCGGCTGGAGCTATGGCGGAGGGCGAGCCAGGTTTTATCTTCATCTTGGTTGAGCCGGTCACTCAGAGCGGCTAGCTCGGCGTCAGACAAATGACCTCCCTCCTCGTCTTGAATCGTGGTCTTCACATTGTCGATAGCATCGCTTTGCGCGACGTACAGAGTGATGGTCTAGCCAGGGAGAGTGTTGACGAAAATCTGCATCCCACCATGGAGGCGAAGTACCAAAGTGAAGAGTGGGCTCCTGCTTCCGACTGCGTGCCAGCGAAAATCAAACGCTGCTGGTCTTGGGGAATACCCTCCTTGTCTTGGGCAGCAGCCTGCCTGTTGTCGTCCTCATCAGCTTCGCCATCACCACCAGTAGTTAGTATGTAGGTAGCGGGTCGCTTGGAATCGCCATCGGAGTCTCCAGTGGATGCCATGCGGAGGGAAGGTTGATCCACGCTAGCACCCTGACTGTGCTGCAAGCTATTAAGTAGGGCCAAGGAGGGATTTATAGCCAGCTTAAGGAGTACGAAAATGTATAGAAAGAAAAATCGAAAAATGAAGAATGAAAAGTTGAAAACTTGTGGTCAGGTGCTTTTTGCAGGGGTACGTGGGTGCTGCTAATGGGGTTTCTCCCTCAAGCGCTCAATATCCCGCTAGGGTCTAATGGGGTTAGCGTCCGTCGAGAGTTCCCGTCGGACACGGACACACCCATTTTCTTTAATATTTCCTCGAAATAAACTTGGGTATGTGTTAAATAATCTTAACCCTTGCAGTTCCGAAGCACGTACTAGCTGGCATTACACGCGATATTCACATTGGGCACTAGGAATATCGCCATTTCACTAACCAATAATGATATCACCTAATTAAGGAATTTCCAGTTCTTGGTCTTGGGCAGTAGATACGATAGATTTGACCAGGCAATACGGCAGTAGTTAACATGTGGCAAGATAATGAATTGTAAGAAGAAGAGCGAAAGCGGACAGGAAGATGGGCGCAATGTGAGTATAATTATTGCAGTTATGTCCCGACTTGGAGTATTTCGCTCCTGCTCTTGAAGCCGTTGAGCGCTCTTGTCTTTGCTGTTTGCGTTATGCAGAGCTGCCTGACTTGTCAGTTTGAGCACTCTGGCAAGGTTCTGCATATACCTCCGCCAACGTCCTTCACATCTAAGAGTTTCACGATTCAGTCTTGTTTGCGTGCATCTTCCCCTCCTACTCCTATAACGTTGAACCTTTCAAGTTGGAAGGTGGTTGGAGTGCGATTCCAATACAAGCTCGAATACGTGCTAGAGTTTACTGGCAATTGGTTGTGGACCGTCAGTACTGTTCAACAGTGTCGTTCAATTGCATTGCATGAGTTGATGGTCAAGCAACTAATGTTGTTGTTTATGGACATTATAGCGTAACTTGCATTTCCTGGATCATTTTCTTTCCTATCTATATATTTTATATACCTGTTAAAGATTGCTGGAGTCTCGGTTCGATCATCTTTTTGAATTCTGATTTTCTGGAAGCAGTCAAATAGTCCGTACATATACAACTATTCTTGCATTAGAAAGGTAATATTCAACAAACTAAAAACCATTTACTTGCACATGTCTTGTTCACTGGTATTCCATGCGTTCTTCAATATGCTCTTGCCCCTGTAGTGCCCTCCGCCATAGCTGTCAACTCTACAGACACGCACATCTACGCACGCATAGTACAGCCTAAGATACTTCGAGATTGGGTTTCTGATTTCTGCTTTCTGTACGAGAAAAATGGAACTGCGGCTACCCCGACGGTAGTGTGCGACAAAAATGAATCAACTGTTCTGTCAGGCCTGGCAACAAATACTTTGTACCGGATCAGAGCATTCTTCAAAACTACGATCGGACACAATAGCAGCATGTCCTCCGAAATCAAAATTGGAACATTGCCGAAAGGTAAGGGATGCGGTTACATCATAATTATACCGACACCAACAGGGTCAGGAGTTAAGAGTTTTGCGTGACTCTTTAAGGATTTGGTGAAATGAACATTCTTCCTATTGTTCCGGGCAAATTCGTTTTGCCACGATCGATTTCCTCAAATGACATTCCATGTCACGCTTCACATAATATGCATTGCTGATTCGATCTTGGGTATAGCCACACATGTGCCCAAATTATTTCGTTGGCAGGGAGAGGTGTAAGGGAAAACATTAAAATACGATTATAGAAATAATCTACGTGGAGATAAAAAAAATTGTTTTTTCACGGCTGAGCGTAGCGAAAGAGTGCAAAAAACGTATTTTTCACTCACAAATATTTTCGTGCATTTGCTCTTGTTCTGCGCAACTCCGTTGAACCTGCCATCGTGGTCTTTGTTTTTCCTCGTTGTAGTTGAAGTTGCCCGCCCACCCACCCTGGGTTCATGGGAGTCGTCCGCTGTTCTTCTTGACAATCTATGCCTATGTGTGTGGCTTATGATTATGACATACACCGGTTATTACATACCATTTCTTGCTATATCTATACTTGGGTCCGACTGGCAGTGGGGCAGGAATTAATGAAATAGAAAGGTTTTTTGGCCAAAAGGCGTGTTTTTCCTCTATCTCGGATGAGCAGTCACGGCTAGGAATGTAGGGAGTCATTGTTTTTCAGGCGCTCCCCTGCTGCCCAGTCACCCATGGTCACCACTGGCCATGCTGTTCACTGGATTTCACGGCTTTTCCTCCCGCTTGCTGGCGGTTCTTTCATGGATTTAGATATTTTTCGGCTATTTATCTATTATGTGGCTGCGAGTGTGGTTTTTTTGCTTCTACTCATTTCTGGAAAACCACCACGGTGGTGAGTGTGATTGCTCTGGTAGACCACTACCCCATGGACTGAACAGTCGCTTTGTGAGTGAAAAGTTTAATAATAGCTATGAAAAGTATGAATGCCGCAGACATCACCACGCAACATGACAATTTGTTCAAGGTTTGGTTTTGTGTGTTTCCTAAATCGATTTTCACGCTCCGATCATCAGTGGAAATACGGAACTAAAGAGATCAATGGAAAAACAAAGGTTAAAAGGTTTCTGCACTGTTCATGCCCGTTTGTCACACTTACTCTTTATTTTAGTTCTCAATTTTTGTAATACTAACCACAAGTTACCCGTCATGTGTCACACTTCTTTGGATTTTTAACCTTTGTTTTTCCCTTGATCTCTTTAGGCCCGTATTTCCACTGATGATCGGAGCGTGAAAATCGATTTTGGAAACAAACAAAACCAAACCTTGAACAAATTATCATGTTGCATGGTGATGTCTGCGGCATTCATACTTTTAATAGCTATTATACGATCATAGTTTCTTTTTATAACTCGGATGTGGAGCTAATTATATTATTGTGAAAAGAAGAAGGACACAATGTTACGAGTTGGGGGACAGTTAGTCATAACTCGTAACATTTTGTCCTTCTTCTTTTCACAATAGTTTCTTGTCAGGGTTATTTTCACGTGCATGATCCTTAGTCACTGCCTTGCATGCAGTCTTTTCCTTTGTCACACCGGGTGTATACTTGGAAACTATTCCATTATCACGTAGCTCAACATCATTATCACCTTACTTGAATCCATACGGTACTAGAGAAACTGTGAGTGGACCTAATTGATCCACAGACTTGAACGCGGCAGTGGTAAAATAATAATAATAAGAATAATTTGTGTCTTTCCCTCAAACTAACGAAGAATAAGAAGAATATGAATGATAATAATCCTTTGGTTAATTTTCTTCTAAACAAAACCATTTCCTTAGTCATTACACGTGATGTGGATGTGTTTTATATCAGCACCAAATCCGCCTCTCAACCCCGTCATCTCAAGTACTACTATCACGGTGTTTCTAGGGCAAATAGAAGAAGGCAACCTTCCCATACGCCAGTATTGTGTGCACGGAATACCTGCTAGTGATCTGTCCGGGAATATGCCATTGGTACCAGTATGCAGCGCCTCGAAAAATGTCACCTTACCTGGCCTTAAACCCAACATGAGCTATAATGTCACCGCCTATGTTAGCAATGCCTATGGAGACAGTGACCAGTCAAGCTCCACACGCATTACCACGTTGCCCACAGGTGAGGATGAATTTTGTTTTAAGCATTGTACGTAGCTTTGGATGTGGCTAGCACTTAGAAGGTCATCACACGAAGCACGGAAGCGATATGGTTTCGAATAAGCTGTTCGAAAGAGGGTACTATGGGAATCTTCAAAGGGCAGAAGCCTAAGAAAACACCGAGCCGAATGCTTACTGTAATTTACTACGATTTACCGATACGACAACGAGAGCTGAGATTTTGATCCTGAAACTACGGGGGGAGGGTTTGAGGGGAGGGAGGGGATTATACTAATCAAGAGAGAGAGAGGGAGCTTGGTGTTTTCATTGTCTCTTAGAGATTGGGGCATAACTTGAGAAAGAGTGAACTATCCAAGAGATGGCTCTATTTGCGCGAGTACAGTATATTATGGAGATGTCTGTTGTATTCACCACAATAAATAACACGCGATCAAAATCCCGTTTCAGGGAGATAAAAGAGTGTAAGGCAGTAGTTCTTAAAGTGAGAACGTTGAGTGCGGAAAAGTTCTTCTTCTGAATGCATAACCTGGGTTACGCAAATTAGGGACTCCGCCATTGAGTGTACAAGCACAAGTAGCATACACAAAAACACAATACTTGTATACATCACAGTACCTTGGGTTTCTCACAAATTAATTAAATACTTCCCGGGATCCACAATAATATCGGGATCTGTACAATGTTCGCAATCAACAGAACCCCCCCTCTCCACCCCTGCGCTCACCACCATCATCATCCGAACTTGTTCCATCCTTCATTTCGCTCCTTTTTCTGTTTACACTGCTCCCATATACATATACTTGTGCTTGCTTCTACATAATTTGTAATTCTGTGTAGTGGAATGGGATGCCTGTCCTCTAACCAGTGCTCGCACGTGGCAAGTCGATTGGACCTTTCAATGTGAACGGAAAACTTGGACAGAAGCAAAAGCAGAATGTCAATCATATGGCGGATCACTAGCGACTGTGCACACAATGGCTCAGGTGACGTGTGCAAACCTGACAGTGAAGGGAACTACCGCTGTGTGGGTAGGCTTGACTGGTACATGGACAGCTGGAGATTGGAGTGCTTGGAAATGGGAAGTGGCATCGTCCACCCATACGACGAGACTTCCCTGGTCATCCCAGTATATACTTCCGTTTAAAAATTCTAATTATACTCACGGATGTTTGGATCCAAACAAGGGCTTAGTGAGCTGGATAAACAACTTTCAATTTAGGTGCCTCTGTCAACGATATGTGCCTAAAGGTAGGTATATATCCATTGATTAAACTAAAGGAATATCTCTACTGATCTAGATCGGTACGGGTCACTCCTCTGATTAAATTAGACATTCCATTTACTCTTTAAACCACAATTCCCAAAAACGAAGACCGGGGATATACCTGAATATATTTGAAAGAGAAATAGGGCACGGGATAGTGTTCTTCGGTGTTGGCGAATGGCAGGTTTCCGAATGTAACGAGGTGGCAATTTAATACACCATTTCACTCGCACCTGAAAGCAAAGCTTTACTGTACTTGCGTCTAAACTAATGATGCTTGTAAGATCAGAGCGCTCTATATATGTCCATGAATGCAAACCCTTTGTAGACAAGACTGCTCGACACTTGACTCATGCTTATATGCATGTACAAACAAGGCCAATCTAGGCTGCTCCAGGTGGAGAACTCAACGCACGACAGAGGCGAAAGGCTGTGCAGATGTAACTTTACATTTCACGTATTTCAGCAATCATCAGATAGCAGCATTTACAATCGAATCCTCGACGAGCAGGTCTAGCTATTTTGTGCTAGTGTGGAATAAAGTCTGTATGTGTGAAGTGTAGATGTGTCTATGGCAAAGTGCTGTTGAATAATTTATGACAGTTAACGAATATAGATGAGAATAGAGGGGATAACAGGGCAGAGCCACTGAGTAATCGAGGGCGATTCCGACAGTAACGCAAAGATATGCTGTATCAGGCGTGAAAAGAGAGAGAGAAAGCACCGGGACGCCAAACCTTGTACAGGTGGCGCCATGTTGAAAAGCCAATCATGTAACTGATGGTGAATATTTTAGACAAGTAAAACTTTTTTTCGTGTCTACAATTCGAGACCAGCTCCGATCTTGTGTTGATATTGACCATTTTGTCTGCATCCAGGGTCGCCGAATTGTTAGCCGGTGTTGTAAACCACCAGTTCTCAATTGGGAAAGGCCTTCGCGCTTATGGCATTGTATTCGTTGAAATGTTGTATTTCGACTCCGCCGTACCGCTGATGTTGCTGCATGGCATACGCTATATGCGTTGTGTGCGTTTTGCTGTATACGCTGTTATGTCCAGTTTTATCTGCTTATGTTTTGCATGTACGCTGTTTTTGCATGCTATAAATAGCTGGTGTTTTTAGTGTTCATTGTTAATTATCAGATGAAGTGAAATATACTGTGTAAAGGAAAACAGTTGTCCTCGTGCCGTGTGGTCGTACGATCCTGACAATTTAGAGAATCTTGCAGGGTTCACAACATTTGGCGACCACGCCAGGATAGGAGCGAGCATGGCGGAGGAACTATGGAACAATTTGGAAGCCAGCTTTATCGACAATGGAGAGCGGTTAGGATTAGAAGGCGAGTTGTTGAAGGTACATGTGGAGCAGAGGCTCCAACAGTACGCGCAGTGCCAGACGGCGAGAGGAGGCGCTCCGCACCGAGTTTGCCCAAACACTAAAGGAGATTAACGAGCGCATCACCAATGCGCAGGAGGGTGAGGGTAAAGCCACGATGGGAGGTACAGAGGAATCTCCCAGTCACAGCGGTGGGCGTCAACCGGTGATGAAAATCCCCTCATATGATGGAACGCAGCCATTGGAGCGTTATCTTGACCTGTTCGAGGACATCTGTTCCAAGAACGAGTTCGAAGAAAGCGAATGGCTGCTGCGACTGCGCATTGCGCTAGCGGGTAGCAAAGCGGAGAGGATATGTATTGGATGCAATAATTACGAGGAAGCAAAACGAGAGTTGCTTGCCTCGCTCGGAAAGACTCCGGATAAAGCGTGGAAGACATTGCTGACAGGCAAGCAGCGGTCAGATGAGTCGTTTCATCAATACGTTGTCCGTGTTTGCCGAGAGGTAGAGGTGTGGGCCACACTCGCTATGACAGAAGATGGCGAGGTGGACACCAAGTATAGCTCCGATATAGGAAAAATGTCCCCGGTGCTGCAAGCAATGGCAAAGCAGGTAATCTTGGAGCAATGCGGACCTGAGATGAAGACGTACCTGGTCGAACGGCAGTGCTACGGGATGTCACTGCGCCAGGTACAGGAGCACGGCGCGTCTTACCAGGTCGCGCACGGACGACAGGGTGATACTGCCAGGAAGCCAGTAGAACGATCCGTGCCAAGGCCCACGGCGTCGGCACAGTGCATGGCGATATCGGTCGCAGATGCAGAGAAGCAGCTAAAGTCGCTGCCACAGGAAGGGAGAAAGGGTTTTCTGCAGCGAGAGAGACTCTGCTGGAACTGCCTCAAGTATGGCCATATGGCCAGAGAATGTCGGTCAGGCTCGAGATGCATGAAATGCCAGAGGAAACACCACCTGCTAATACATGATGTGTTGGATAGAGCAGGTTACAGCCGGGAGAAACCGACTGAGATAGTTACGGAGAAGAATGTTGGGTCGTGCTGTCTACACTCGCCAAGTGTGCGGCTGATGACCGGAGTGGCACGAGTTGAGGGAAGAACTCGAAACGCGAAGGTTCGCGTGTTCCTGGACTCGGGTGCTGAGGCGTCTTTCGTGACTGCAGCGTTGGTGTCAGCAATCGATGCAGAACACGTTGGGGTTGAAAATGTCGAGGTGAAGCCGTTCGGCGCGGAACCAACCCAACAGCGCATGGATAAGTACGCCATCACGATCCAGGGTAGCTCGGCTAGCATTCGGGTACGCGCGTTCGTGAAACCAACGCTTGAGCTGGACCTGAAGTGCGCAAGTCCGCAGACCATTGCGCAGTGGCACAGTTGGGGAGTAGAGCTGAGTGACAAGCCTCAACAAGGGACATCAGACGAAATACATATGCTGATTGGTGCAGACTATATCAACGCGGTACTGCACAGCAAGAAGGAAGTTAATGGTGAGACGGTGTGGAACACAGAGATAGGTAATGTATTATCTGGTCCAGCGTCTGCACCAAGTCGAAACAGTCAGCCGGTGACCGTGTCATGTGTCACAGCCCACATTGAACAACTATGGCAGTTGGATGAACCTCCAGAACAACATCAGCACCTGCCATCGTTCCCGCTATGTCGCCAGGGCAGCGGGTACCAAGTGGGTCTCTTGTGGCGAAATGAGCGTCGCCCAACGGATAACTTTGCCCAAGCTAGAGTCATCGCAACGCGGCTTCTTGAAAAGCTGAAGAGGAATGGGAAGCGTGCGCTCTATGATGATGTGCTGATCAGGGAGTACCGCGAGCTTGGAGCAATTGAGCTGGAGCCATGTGAGAGCGATGCCGGGTACTATGTACCGCATCATGGTGTATTCCGCGAGCACGCTGCAACCACGAAGTTAAGAGTGGTGTTCAATGCCTCGGCGACGGCTCCAGATGGCAAGTCGTTGAACGACATGGTTGACCCTGGACCGTCGCTATTGCCGAGTCTCGCAGGTATGCTATTACGGTTCCGTGAATATAAGAGCGCGCTGCAAGCGGACATCCGCAAGGCTTTCTTCATGGTCGCAGTTAATCCCGAAGACCATCCGTACCTACGTTTCTTGTGGCCCGGTCGAAGCGACAGCGATGAACTGTTAACCTGGAGGCTAACGAAACTGCCATTTGGCGTAAACTGCTCGCCATACATGCTTACTGCGG